AAGGAGTTCTTCAGTCTCCTTCTGCAATCAAAATGTTACCAATGATGTCAATTCTCAGCCTCATCAAAACCTCCCTTTCTACAATCTTCGTATGACACAGAGACAAGTTACACAGTGGAAAAGCAGATATATCGAACACTAGAAGTATGTGTGACACTATCAAGTATAAGGGGAAATGATTTTATTACAAACAGAAAAAAATGTATACAGCTGTTTAACCCTAAGTTATTCTTTTCTTACTGTGTGCTACCCAGAAGAAAGTCACTAAGGGCTAAAACTTGTTCCCAGCCCCCAGCCTGAATAAATAGCCTGCACACTAATATCAAGGGTCTGATGCAACAGAACATATACTCTACAGCCAGTAGTATAGCCTTAAGAAAATAGCAGATAAGCAAGTATAGCGATCTTTTTACAGTGTAACTAAATGATGAATATACTTAATCATAGCTCTCTTGGCTCTTCCTAGAAACCTTCTCCTGCAATGGGATGCAAGGATCCCTAGCTGTGCTATACTCCATCCTACGTAGGTTTGGCGTGAATAGGTTTGGCGTGAATAGGTTTGGCGTGAAAAAGAACATTCTGAATGTATTGGAAGGGCAGGAAATGTAGAGTGGCCCTCTCCACATTTCCTATCCTTTCAATACATTCAGAACCTTACTTTTTCATGTGAAGAAGAGAGTGGGTTTTGTTCCCAGTGGCATTTGGGCTATTTTGTCATTCCTCTTTAGGGCCACATTAAAGACCCTTTAGTCATTCTTACTCATGCAGTTGTCCTATGGAAAGTCCTTTTCTCCAACAATACCATTTACAAAGGTTATGGGAAAAGCTTCCAACTCAACTGAAAATACAATAAAAACAAACAACAAGGGTTGTCAGAGTTACTAGGGTTAAACCAGGATGAATTTGGCACAATTGCCCCTTTTCACCTTTTATTTACACCAATCTAGGTCAGGACTCCTTTACTGAAGTCAGTGGAGTTCTGGGAGATCCAATTGGAGCTATGGAATTTATGGATCACTTATAGGTAGCAGTGTTATGTTTTTGGTGTATTCGATTAATCCTGAAACGTATAAATCCAACCTGGCATGGGGAATGTATTGAGTGTAATAAGCATTTTAAAAGCTCTGTATGTTCAAGATGATTTTTCAAGTTTAGGAAGGTTTGTTTGTTTCTGCAAAAAAGTGAACACAATTACATGTTATATTATGCATCCAGAGAAGGCTGGCACATAATATTACATTACATGTATTTTTAAAAAGAAGAACAGGAGGACTTGTGGCACCTTAGAGACTAACAAATTTATTAGAGCATAAGCTTTCGTGGACTATAGCCCACTTCTTCGGATGCATATAGAATGGAACATATATTGAGGAGATATATATACACACATACAGAGAGCATAAACAAGGTGGGAGTTGTCTTACCACCTCTGAGAGGCCAATTAATTAAGAGAAAAAAACTTTAGTAAGTGATATTTTTTTTTTCTCTTAATTAATTGGCCTCTCAGAGGTGGTAAGACAACTCCCACCTTG